CAAGAAGTCTATGGTTCCGTGTTTAAAGGAAAACTTCGAAGCGGCCAACTTGTTGCAATAAATTTGCTAAGCAAATCGAAAGCTGATGGCCAAGATTTCATTACTGAAGTTGCAACTATTGGAAGGATACATCATGTTAATGTGGTGCAACCTATTGGATTTTGTGTGGAGGGATCGAAACAGGACTTGTATATGATTTTATGATAAATGGATCCTTAAAATCATATTTTCAAATGACAATAACACTTTGAATTGGCAAAGAACGTTTGAGATTGCTTTGGGAGTGGCTCGAGGTATTGAATATTTGCATAGAGGTTGTGAAATGCAAATTCTACATTTTGATATCAAGCCACATAACATTCTTCTGGATGAGAAGTTTACTTTCAAAGTTCAGATTTTGTCCACGCAAAATTGTATTCAGTGGATGACAGCATCGTCCCTCTCACAGCGGCACGAGGTACACTAGGATACATTGCTTCTGACTTGTTTTACAAAACATTGGAGGCATTTCATGTAAAACAGATGTTTATAGTGTCATAACGATTTTGGGACCGCCAGACGTAAAAATGAGATGTTTTAAAATCGAGAAAAATAAAAAGAAGGAGTCGTCACCAATCTTTGTTAGGGTGTGATTGGTCACCCAAAAATTTATCTTTTTAATAAAACTATAAAAACAAGTCTAGAGTTTATCAAAAAGATAAATTTCGGTCTGTAAAAAAATCAGGTTAGGTCCGGGAGTCGGTTACGCGTGAGAAAGGATTAGCACGCCCACAACGCCCATAAATTGGTACTATTTAATTATGCGCTATTTTCGACGTTGGATAAAAATTGTTTTAATTTGAAATTTAACATTAATTTCCTTTATTTGAAAAAAAAATATTTTTTTGCTAAAATTTTTATTTAGGAATATTGAGAAAATCTTTAAGTTAAAAAATTATCTTAAAATTCTCCAACATCTAGGTAGAATTTAAAGTAACCATTTTCGCTTAAGATTTAACACAACAATCCTTAAAATGAAATAACACTCTTTACAAAAAATTGTTGATGACTCTCCAACATCTAGGCAGAGTACCAAGAATTATTTCTTTTGGAATGTTATTTTTATTTTATTTTGTAATGTTTCAAAAAGATTTTTTTTTAGTATTATTTTTTATTAAAAAATATTTTATCAGTAAATTAAAGAGAGAGTAATGCAATCAATTATTGATGATAGCATGATAACGTATATCATGCTAATGAATGTCATGTTAAATGAAATGCAATTTAAGAGTTGGATTCTTAAATATAATGAGACCACCCCGACTCTCCAACATCTAGGTAGAGTTTAGGTACGATTGTTTATATTTAAGATCCCAATTTTATTATATTTTTTATTTATTAATCTTATTATTAATACGAATTAAGAAATCGTGTGAAAAGATTTCACGAAGTAAAATTTCTTAAATACCCCATCATCTAGGCAGCATTCGGGAACAAATTGCTTTAAATAGAATTTTCACACGTGTCTTTAAGATTTTTTTTAGGACTTTGGATTTCAAGGATTTTGGATTTTGGGGGGTTTTGGATTTAATGGATTTTGGATTTTTAGGGGTTTTAGAAACCTAGGATTAAGAAATAGTGCTTAAGGTTTCGTTTTTAAGAAAATACGAACATTTCTAAAAATTCCCAACATCTAGGCGGATTTTTGAAACAAGTTCGATTTTAATAATTTTTGAAAATTAATTAAAAAATTTTTATGTTTATTTATGAAAAATTATTAACAATAATTCCCCAACATCTAGGCGAAATTATTGTTTTAGAAAAATATTTTTATTCCCTCCAACATCTAGGCAGGGAAAATTATTATTATTTTTTTAAAGCATTTTAATATATTTTTAATTATTTTTTGTTTTTAATTTTATTATTATTAAAACGATTAAACATTCATTCTAACAAATTTATAAATTTATCATGCATAAATATAAAAATATATTTAAAATAACAAAAATAATAATAAAAAATTAGAAAATTCAAAAAAAAAATTTTTTTTACCTGAACCGGACCGTTCAACGGTCCGGTCAACGCTAGTCCGAGCGGTCTGACCGGTTCGGCGGTTGGATAGGCGGTTCGAGCTATCTGACCGGTTCGGCGATCGGATCGGCGGTCGGGGCGATCTGACCGGTTCAGTCCGATCCACTGGCTGTTCGTATGAACCAGTTCAAGGTTGGCTAAAACGGGTCGTTGGGTCGGGTTGCACGGATCTCGAGTCGGGTTCGGGTCAACGCGCGGATCCTTCTTTGGTTAAAACGGCGTCGTTTTGGGTTTTATTGAAACGACGTCGTTTTGGCCATTGATAATTTATATAAAAGTCAAAATTATTTTTTCTTCATCATTTTTTCGGTCTTCAAAAAAAAAAATAGCCCCTCTTTTTTTTTTCTTCTATCTTCTTCTTCAACCGCACGCCGGCCAGCCGTCGGTTCCGCCGTCGTTCGTCAGTCACTGGCCGTCATCTCTGGTGTCGAAAAAACCCCAAAATTCTCCCACGAACTCTTCTCGACCCTCTGAGCCAGATATGACCTCTTTTCACCACAAACGGCCTTCCCGACATCGCCCGTCAGATCGGGTTTGCCAGTTTTTGATTTTTTCTTTTTTTTTTTTTCGGTGAAACTGATGATTTTCTTGGCTTTTGCAGGTGGCTCGGCGCTCGAGCGTCCTCGCCGTAGCGCGAAGACTGTGGTTATTTTTTCAATTTTTTTTTTTTTTACATTTCTGTGCCCCTTTTTTTTTTTGGGCTAAATCTGTTGTGTATTTTGAGGGGTAGCTGTGTGTTTGAAAATGGGTTTTTGTTTTTTTTGTTTAAGAGCTGATCGATCCCCTAATGAGAAAGATGGCTGGGGATTTTAAAGGGTTTCGATTTAGGGGAATCTAGGTGGCTGTAGGGTAGTTGGTTGGTGGTTGTAGGGTGGTTGGTCAGGAGGCTGGTTTGGAGGCTGGTCGGGGGGTGGTGACAGCGGCGCCGTACCAACTCTCTGACTTCTGTCTTATTCTTGTTTTTTTTTTGTTTTGTTTTTTGTTTGTTTTGTTAAAATTATTATTATAAAACAGTAGACCCGGACAAAATCGGTGTCTACATTAGTTTTGGAATGATGTTAATTGAAATGGCAGGAAGGAGGAAGAACATGAATCCACTTGCAGAACATTCTAGACAAATTTATTTTCCATTATGGGTTTATGATCAACTTGATCAAGGAGATGACATAGAGGTTTGATATCTGACAGAAAGTGAAAACAAAATTATGAGAAACATGTTGATAGTTGTCCTTTGGTGCATACAGATGAAGCCCGCAAATCGTAATGAGCAAAGTCCCTGAGATGCTCGAAAGTGAAGTTGGGCTCCTTGACATGCCTGCCAAGCCTTTTCTACTTTTTGAAATGGCAACTAAAGATAGTGAGAATTCAACGACAACCACATCACTTGGTCCTGAGAATATTTTGTAAGTAACTACTTAAGTTATGCAATATAGTCTCAAAATTTTAATTTTAAATATACAGATACTGAAATTAGTGATGCAACGGGTGCCGGGTCCGGGGCGGGTTTTTGCTCGCCCGAACCGACCGATTTTAAATATGGCAATAACTCGACCCATACCCGACCCGATATTTTTTTTCATTTTTAATCCGAACCCGACCCGACATTGTATAAAAATAATCCGATCCGAACCGTCTCTAAATAATAAAATATTATTTTTAAATATAAATATAAAATTAAAATATATATATATAGTATAATTATATATATATTAAATATAAAATTAACAAATAATTTTTTTATATATATCGGGTCGGGTAGGGTCAGGTTTTGCTAAAAACCCGACCCCGCGACCCGAACCCGAAATTTTTTTTACTATACCGACCCTACCCGACCCGATACCCGATTTTCAAAAAAAAAAAAATCGACCCTAAAAGGTCTGGTCGGGTCGAAACCCGACGGGTTCGGGTGATTTTGCCCACCCTAATACTGATATACTACTTTTAAATTTCATAATTATTTAATTTTTGTAACCCCGTTTATATAATAATCTTATATATACGTGGGATCAAATTGGGATATAAATATTTAAATAAACAATAGAAAAATTAAGGCTTAAAATTAAATCTTTGAATTATCATCTTTGAACTATTTAATTTTAATTCAAGAATTTTTTTTTATATTTAAGCCAAAAATCAAGAGCAATATGTATCGGTGATGTAGAAATTATTAAAACATGGTGCCCTTTGAGATGTAATAAAACCCCAAAAAATTATATGATAATTAAGTATTATTTATATTATTGTGTGTAAAAGGGTCTTTTATGGGCTAGAATTTAAAAAATGTTATAGGGTATGCCGGGAATAACAAAACTCTCCTACTAAATTGGCAGTATTATATGTATACTCACACATGCACTAGAATATTTGAATCTGTGATAAATTTTTTAAAATTTTTTATTTTATAATTTATGTTTTGAAAGCCAGTATCGTTTTAAATAATTTTGTTGATATTCGATTGAAGGGTTGTAGTGATCTCGCTACCCTGCGGGCTTACACTGATGAATTACAAAGATTTTTTTTTTGGTTGGGTCACGATTTTTTTATTTAAAATTATCAGAATTTAATTCTTAAATGATCATATGATTGTTGACGTTTGTGGAATATGTTTTTGGTTCTTCATTGATAGTGTGGAAAATCAGTACCCACGAGATGTGACTGGCTTAGTGTTAAAGTGTTTTATGGTTTGGATTTAATTAGTTGACTGACTTTTGAAATCGAGGAAGATGTTTTTTTTTTTTTTGATGATAAAGGAAGACTTTGTTTCCAATATGTAAGATGAAGACAACAGAATTCTTCACTAATTGGCTTGCCTAAATTTAATTAAAACGAGTCCCTTAACCTCCTTCACTCCCACTAGAACTTTAGGATGCAGAGACCAAAACTTCCATTATTTTGCCTGTTGGCCCTTGCTTGTTCGCTGTTGTTCCCCCATGCTTGCCTTGGTAGAGGCATACACAAAAATTGTCTCTAATTTCTGTGGAAGCGTTAACATCAGTTACCCTTTTAGATTAAAAACCCAGCCTCGAAGCTGTGGTTTTAAAGGGTTTGAGCTAGTGTGCGAGAATGACCGTACAATTTTTCCCATGAAATATGGGAATTTCTATGTCCAAAATATCTCTTATCTTTACCGAACGATTCATCTTCTAGATGTGAATCTTGTCAAGGACAATTGTTCCATTCCTCATAGTTCCATTCCTGTGTACCCTACTTCAGGACTCTATGTAGATAGCGAGATGTATCTGGTAAATTACAGGATGAAGATGAACAACTCTAGGGTTTACATCGATGCTTCTCGTTGCACCAATCGCTCTCCCTCTCCAACTCCACCTGCTAATTTCTTTTATTTTTTGGATGGAGGAACAGCACCGTCTAATTTCCATCAGTCATGCACAGTTGAAGCCCAGGTTCCGATCATGCTTTCTAATATAACGGGCCTCTCTACTTTTGATATTTACGAAATGCTGATGATGGGCGTCCACCTCTCCTTTGACACTTACGCTTTTACCGGCTTCTTGGTTTGGAACTCGGTTGTTAACGTGTGAGGATTTTTTTAGTGTTACAAATAGATATTTAGAGCCTTTTAGCTTATGAAAAATATATACTCTTCATTTCAATTGAATGTCCAACTTCAACTAATTTTGACCTTAATTTTTTATGATATCGTGGGAAACTATAAAATTTTTTTTAAAAATTGAGTTTAAGATTTCTCAAAACTTTATATTTTAAAATTCTACTAGAGTTTTGTTTGACTGAAAAAATTTGAAAATAAACAGAGGGATTATTATTTTTATACAAAATAAGTATAAATATATATATGAACAATAACCAAATTTGAAAATTTTTAGTTTTTTAATCTTTTAAAGGTTGACGAATTAGTTACAAACAATTTTTTTTTTACTGCTGTATATAAATTTATAGACATAAACCCATCTCAAATCGTTTCCAGAATTTAAACCTATATTTCGTATTGGACTCTCAAATTTTAATCGTTGTAGAGCCTATTTAGAACTTTAGTTATTTGCTTAATTTTACTGTTTAGAGTAAAAATTTAAATTGAGGAATTTAAAACATTTTGAACACTAATTAAAGATTAACAGTTTTATGTTTTTTGTTGAATGAAAATTAATTTTAGATTGAAATCGTTGGCCTACCTATTGTTGATTCCGATTGCAGCATATATAGCAAACAACCTGGCTTTCATCGGTATTTTCCCAGCTCACCCAAATAAAGGTATTCTTTTGGCAATTCATTGGTATTTTAATTATTGCAATTAATTTGCCTTTGCATTTCTAGTATCTAATAATACTTATATTTTTCGTATTGGTAATGTTTGAGCAGGAATCGAGGCTCTTTGCGTTGCAATAACAGTTAAATTAATTTTTTAAAAAATATTAATAAGTAAGTTTGAGGGTTGATAATTATATATTAATTAAGTGTTATCATTTGATTCATTAATAGAGTATAATACTTATATATTAATAATGCATCCAATATAAACTCTTTTCATTAATGTTTGTATTTGATATATTATCATTATATAAATCTTATACATTGTTTGTGAATCAATGATGGTACTTTATTAATGATGTGATTTTAGATGCATTATTAATAATTTTTTTAAAAAAAATTAATTTTTTTATATTCATTTTTATGGTTGATTTTTTTCATTAATATGATGTTATCATTTGATTTATTGATAATATATAAAATCTATATAACGAGAGTACATCAAATATAAACTCTTGCTTTATTACTATTACTATGAAATTCTAGAGCTACATTTATAATACAGCATCCTAATTTAGAGGAATTTAAAATTCAAGATACAATATATATTATTAAAGTATGTTTTAATAATATATTCTATGTAGACACCCAATTTGATCCAGGCCCAGATCAATTAGGCATAGTCTAAATGGGTAAGTCCAATTTTGTTTTTATTTTGTATTTTATATTTTTTATTGTTTTTATTTTGTATTTTATATTTTTTTCCTTTGTATCTTATGTATTTATTATTTATTTATTTATTATTACTATTTATTAATATATGTATATCTTTATTTTTTTTCTTTTTCTCTCATTTCTGTTAATATTTATATATATTTTTATTTAGTTATATATTTATTTAGTCATTTATATATTATAATTTATCTATTATTATGATTTTTTTATCTTGTAATATTTTTTATTTATCTTATTATTATTTTTTTCTTCTAATTATCTATTAATATTTTTTTATTTTTATTTACTTATCTGATTTTTCTTTTCCTTTTTTTGGGGTCGAGATTGAACTTGTTGAAGAATCCTACCGTGAATGGGGATTCAATCAGAATCCATATTGGATTCAAAGATTGAATCCCCATCCAAAAAGGAATAGGGATTGATCAGAAACTCTTTTGATCAATCCCTATAAATAGGTATTGGAACAGAAGCAAAAGAACGGAGAAGAGAGAAAAGAGTTACTTGCTAAGAGAAAAAGGCAGACAGAAGATATTCGAAAGCTGAAAAAGGGTTTAGAGTCGTTAGAATAGCTTTAGGAATCGTTGGGAAATTTTTGAAGATTTTTTTGCGAATTTTTTGTAGAAATTTTTGAAAAATTTCCAGATTCCAGTGGAATTTTTCGACGAAAGTTGAATTTTTCAGCTACAATTTCGGCCAAGTTTGAAGTTTCCGGTCAACTGCCAAGTTTTCGATGAGAATTTTTAGAAATCGACCAACTTTTCGATGAACTTCCGACGAAAAACCCAGATTCCAATGAAATTTTCAGAATCCGACAGTCATTCAACCGGAGTTTTTTGAGTTTCTAGAGAGAAGGGAGAGAAGAGAGAAGAGAAGAGAATAAGGGTTTTGCTAAAAAAACAAAGGAATCAGCCTTATATACCCTTCTGAAACGACGTCGTTTCTACGTTAAGTAACCCAAAGGATCCGCGCGTTTTGCCAAGATCCGACCTGACCCGAACGTCGACCCGTTTTTCGACCCGAGTGTGACTTGCCCCTCCGAGCTGTTAGCCGAGCCGAGCCGACACCTCTGAGCCGCTACTCCGAGCCATTTTTCTTCCTCAAGCCGAGCCAAGTCTCAAGCCGAACCGCTCCAGGTTTTTTTTTCTTTTTTTTGTTTCTTTTTATTATTTTTATTTTTTTGTTTTCTTTATTTATTTATTATTATATTAGGGTTGTTTAATTTTTTTATTTATTTTTATTTTATTTATTTTTATTTTATTTTTATTTATTTCATTTATTTCATTTTCTTTAAATAAAATTCAAAAAAAACAAAAAAAAATATTTTTGAGGAAAAGTTGAAAGTATCAATTTTTCTTAAAAATAAATTTTCCAAAAAGATTTTTTTTTTTAGGAAAAGTTGAAAATATCAATTTTTCTCAAAATTAAAAATTTCAAAAAAATATTTTTAGGGAAAAGTCGAAAGTATCAATTTTTCCTTGTACAAAAGCGATCATTTTTTCCTCTTTTATTTCTTTTGAATTTTCTTTAATGTTAAATAATCCGACGATGGAGCCTCTGCAAATAAAACAGTAGTTTTCTTGCATACTCTTAAGGTGAGAGAATTTTTTCAATTTTTTGCTAAAAGTATTAGAGTCAATTTGCAGAATTAATTTTCAATAGTTAATTACTTGGTAAAATTTTAAGGCTTATTGGATATCCAAAAATTAAGCTGGTACCATCTTTTGTGGCGTTGTAGGGTGCTATAACCTTCCTCACATGTAACCGAACTCTCGAACCATGTTCTGGTTAGTAGACCTGAACATATTCTTTTAGGGACCCTTAAACTTAGGTGTTCCCTAAAAGGACAGATTCCTTAGGTGGGCAATCGCACCTAGATAAAAAAGATTGGTGGCGACTCTTTCAAGTCAATGTCTAGCGATAGATTCTCGAATCTAGACGTTATGACAGCTTGGAGACTCCACTGAGGACTCCGAGAGTCAGGCCAGCAAAAATTTGTGTTATCCAAAAGCCTAATAAAATTGAACATTTTTGTATATATGTTATTATTCATTCATGTTGATTTACTTTGTTAATTATGTCATTCATATGCATGTACATAACATGAGCTCTATACCCGAGCTTCGTCCCTCTAGGAGGGAGTAAAGTACCTATTGCTTTCGTGAGGTCTAATGCCTTCGCAGTGTCTAGTGAAATACTCCCATTCAAATTGAACCTTTTTCACTTGTAGCCTGTAATGGGTGAGGATTAGGGTGCCTTACTAGTCTGTGATGGACAATGATGTAAGGAGCAATTTGAAAACCTTTAGATTTTAACCTTGAACCACATATAATGAACCTTAGAGGTGCCTAAACCTAGGATAGAGCCCTTTTTACCCAATGATAGATGTACCCTGAAATTAAGACACAAAAAGGGTGTTTATCTAATCATTTTGATTGTCTAACTTTGTGCATCATTGTCATTATCATATGTAACATTATGCATCAGTATCACTTTCATTTCATCTATGGAACTAACTATGTTGTTTGTCTGATTGTATGCATCTGTATTACTTTCATGATCATATTTTAACACAATCATTTGCATCCATTTCATATTAGATTTCATTCAAAAAAATATACATTTCATTCTGCATCAAAGCATCATACATAAAGCATAGCATAACATTTCTAATCATAATTGTGGTGCTAAAGGTTTGAGGATAGCCCCATCTAGCGAGAACCTTGCCCATTGATACAACACAAGATCTAGAGCCAAACAAATGGAGCAGGAAAATTCTCACAAATTTAAAAAATAAAAAAAACACAGGAGAAAATTGAAAGTGAGTTGAGTAAGATTCTGGATGCTCTCAATACGCTGAATAAAAGAAAAAGAGTTGAAGATAATACAAGCCAACAAGTTCCCTCATTGCAAGAAGTGACTGACCCTTTGTATCCTCCAGATTTTGGCCCACCTCAAGCTCAGTCTGCACAAGAGGTTCTGCCACAACACTTCGCATATCCAACATATCCTGGAATGCCATCAGCTTTCAACCCGAGACAGTATTATAGCTATGTAAATTCTGTCTTTACTGAAAATGCAGTAGAATCAATTCCTGATCTAGATGATTTGAAAGTGAAGGAAAAAGAAAAGATAAGGGTGGAAACTCAAGAAAGCTCTAAGATTAGTATGCTAAAACAAAGGCTATGGGCTATGGAAGGATTTGGCTTCTATGGTTCAGTTGATGCTGCTGGGCTTTGCTTAGTCCCTAATGTGGTCATTCCTCATAAGTTCAAAGTACCAAAATTTAAAAAATTTGATGGTACAAAATGCCTCAAAACCCACATCACCATGTATTGTTGAAAGATGGCAACCCATGCTCATGATGAAAAACTCTTGATGCATGTCTTTCAGGATAGCCTTACAGGCTCTGCTGCTAGGTGGTATGTTCAGCTGGACAGAACCCGCATTCGCTCTTGGAGCGATATGGCTCATGACTTCATCAGTCAATATCGACATATTATCGATTTGGCCCCTAATCGTTTGTCTTTACAGAACCTGAAAAAAAAAACAAATGAGTCTTTTAAAGAGTATGCCTAGAGGT